ACATTTGTCTTTCTGGGACACACACAATCACTATGTAATTATCTTTGGGTACATCCATTTTGTTGCAAACAATTTGACTTCATTCCCCTAATGGATGAAAAATTCATTTTATATATGTATATTATATAAAATATTATATATATTACATTTTCTCCTGTTGCTGGACACAAAGGTTGGTTCCAGAACTAAGTTATTATGAATAATGCTGCAGAAAACATTGATGTACAGGTATTTCTCTGATATGCTGACATGGGTCCTGTGGGTAAATACCGAAGGGCAGCTTAGCTGGCTTCTAAGGTAGATCTGTTTTTAGTTGTTGTGAGTTCTTAATCTTTATGTATATGTGTGTTTTGCCTGCATGAATGTAAATGCATCAGGTGCATGCAGTGCCTGCAGAGGCTCCAGAAGATAGTGATGGAGTCCCTGGAACTGGAGTTATGGATTATTAGTCACCATATGGTTAGAACAGAACCCAGGGCTTCTGGAAGATTAGCAAGTCTCTTAACCAGTGAGTCATCTATTCATCCACTATTTTTTTCTTTTTTGAGGACTCTAAATATTGGTTTCCAGAGGGTCAAGACTACATTGCATTCCCAACAGCACTGTGTGAGGGCTTCCTTTTGTCTACATCTTCTCCAGAATATTTATGTTAAAATCTTGTTTTCTTAATTACTCCCATTCTGTGTGAGGTGAGATGAAATCTCAGTGTAGTTTTAATTTGCCTTTCTCTAGTGACTCGCATTTATGGGCTGTTTGTGCTTCAATTTTGGAGCATTGTCTGCACATGTCATTAGCCCATGCGGTGATTGCTCTGTTCAATTTCTTGTAATTCAGTGTTTTTACTTCTTCTATATTCTAGATATTGAGCATCGGTCAGATGCATAGCTAGCAAAGATTTCCTAACATTCCGTGGCTGTTCTTCACTCAATTATTTCCATTGTTTGTAGAAACATTTTAATTTCCTGAGATCTCATTTACCAGTTGCTGTCACTATTTCCTGAGTTACTGTGGTCCCATTTAGGAAGTCCTTATCTTAGAGTCATTTCTCTACTTAATCCTCTAACAGTTTCAAAGTTCTTGATTCTAAATTAAAGTTTCTGATACATTTTAAGTTGAATTTTTGTGTGGGGGTGGGTTGCAGGGTAAGAGACAGGGCTCTAATTTCAATCTGCTACAAATAGATATCCAGTTTTCCAGGCATCATTTGTTATTAGAGATCATTTTCTCTAATGAATATTTTTGTCAACTTTGTCAAAAATACATGGTTGTAGCTGAGTGAGCTTATATCTGAGCCCTCTTTGATAAATGTGTCTACATTTCAGTAAGGACTATGTTTCTTGGCCCAATCAGTTTCTATTACTATGGCTCTGTAGTATAACTCAAGCAAATAGATGGTCGCTCTGGCATTATTTGTTTCATTCTGGATTGTTTTGAATATCTGGGGGTTTTTATGCTTTCATATGAATTGTAAAACTTTTTTTCTATTTCCGTGAAGAAAGGCATTGGAAATATCATGTGGCTATAATTATATGCACTCATGCTTGGGTCTTCTTTCTGTTCCATTGATCTAAATAACCGTTTGGGGGCCAATGCCAAGCTATAATCATTATTATAACTCTTTAATATAGCTTGAAATCTAGTATGGTAAGCCCCATCATTATTCTTTCCGATGAGAATTACTTTGGCTGTTAAAGGCCCTTTATGGTTCCATATGAGTTTTAGAATTTTAATGGGAACATATTATCTAGTTTGTTCATACTGTTTGTGTTTTTGTAAAGTGACG